ATGACAAGGTTGCATTCTTTTTTATGGCTGAGTAATATTCCATTATATATATTATATATATATAATATATATATAATGTATGTGTATGTAATATATATGTACATTATGTATATATATGTACATATATATTATGTATATGTTATATATGTACACTATATATACACATGTATATACATATATATTATATATTATGTATATATGTATCTCATGTCTTTATCCATTCACCAATCGATGGACACTTGGGATGCTTCCATATCTTGGCTATTGCAAATAATGCCACTATAAACATAGGGGTGCTTGTATCCCTTTGAATTAGTGTTCTTGTATTATTTGGACAAATACCCAATAGTGTTATTACTGGATAATAAGGTAGTTTTACTTTTAACTTTTTGAGGAAACCCCATACCATTTTCCAGAGTGGCTGCACCAGTTTGCATTCCTACCAACAGCATGCAAGTGTTTTTTCCCCCACATCTTTGCCAACACCTGTTGTTTCTTGTGTTCTTGATTTTAGCCATTCTGACAGGCGTGAGGTGATAGCTCATGGTAGTTTTCATTTGCATTTCCCTGATGGTTAAGTGATGATGAAGATCTTTTCATGTGTCTGTTGGCCATCTGTATGCCTTCTTTGGAGAAATGTCTGCTCATATCTTCTGCCCATTTTTTATTGGATTATTTAGGGGTGTTGAGTCGTAGGATACTAAACTTTTATGAGGTATGTCATTTGCAAATATCTTCTCCCATTCCCTAGGATGCCTTTTATGTTGATTGTTTCCTTCACTGTGCAGAAGCTTTTTATTTTCATATAGTCCCAATAATTTATTTTCTCTTTTGTTTCCTGTGCCTTAGGAGACATATCTAGAAAGAAGTTGCTATGGCCAGTGTCAAGGAAATTACTTCCTGTACTGTCTTCCAAGATTTGTACGGTTTCAGGTCTCATATTTACGTCTTTAATCCATTTTTTTTTAAATTGTTAATGTTTATTTTTTGAGAAAGAGACAGAGCATGAGTGGGAGAGGGGCAGAGAGAGAGGGAGACACAGAATCTGAAGCAGGCTCAAGGCTCTGAGCTGTCAGCACAGAGCCCGAGATGGGGCTTAAACACACAGACGGTCAGATCATGACCTGAGCCGAAGTTGGACATTCAGCCTACTGAGCCACCCAGGCATCCCTTTGTCTTCCTGCTTTAAATGGTTTTTTTTTTCTTTATCCAATGTTTTGCAAATTCAGTTACAATATGTGATGGTGTGGGTTTCCTTTTGTTGATTTGGTGAGGGTTCCCTGTGTCTCCTAGATCTGGATATATATTTTCTTCCCCAGATTAAGGAAATTTTCAGCTACTATTTCTTCAATAAATTTTCTTCCCCCTTTTCTCTCTCCTTCTGGGACTCCTATAAGACAAATCTTATTACGTTTGATAGAGTCTGAGTTTAAATGAGTCTGAGTTTGAATGAGCCTGAGTTCTCATTTTGCATAATTCTTTTGTCTCTCCCTTGTTCAACTTGATTACTTTCCAGTGCTCTTTCTTCTAATTCGAGTAATTCATTTCTCTGGTTCTTCCATCCTGCTGTTCATTCCATCAAATGTGTTTTTAATTTTGTTTATTGAGCCCTTTATTTCTGCTATGTTATTCCTTATCTCTGTGTTAAGGGTCTTATTCATTTCTTCCACTCTTTTCTTAAGTCCAGTGAGTATCCTTGGGATCAGTGTTTAAATTCTCTATCAGGTATGTTACTTAGTGAAACTATCTGTTTCACTTAGGTGTCTGGCTGTGGTCTTGTCCTGTTCTTTCAATTGGGGTAAATTTCTCTATCTCCTAATTTTGTCTGCATCTCTGTGTCTGTTTCTCTGTGTTAAGAAAGTCTGCTGTGCCTTCTGCTCTTGAAAGTAGTAACTTTATGATGAAGAGGTGCTGGAGAACCCACAGTGCAATGTCCCCTGTGCACCAGAACCTGGCACTTCAGGAGAGCATCCTGTGTGTGTTGCTTATGCCCTGCTATTGTGTCTGAGTTACTTTTCCTTTCAGTGCAGTCATCTGCCTGTTGTGGGCTGTGCTTGCTCCCTGTGGTGTTAGTGGGACCCAGACAGGCCAGCTCTGAGTGGATATGCCCACTAGTGAACCTGAGAGTGGGGCAACGGTGTTAACAGAATTTGTACTGGGCCACTGGTCCTATGCCGGATCCCCCTGAAGCATTGCCGTGGCTGGGGGCACGTGGCTGGGCCTGGGGCAGTGCACGTGTGCACCACGCATAGGCAGCTGTGCACCTGGTGGCTGCATGGGGTGCACTCGTGACTTTACCAAAATTTGCCCTGAGCCCAGGACTGAGGCTAGCAGGCTTAGAAGGGGCAAGTCCTCAGGAGAACTTGTAGACATGGTGCACTGGTAGCAGGTTAGGTAGCAAGTCTCTGTTTAGCGCCACCTCCCACAGGCACTTCTTTGTTTATGCTTAGGGACAGGGGAGAAAAATGGCACCTGCTAGCTCCCTCGTTTTCTGAGAAGTCCCCCAACATACTCGGAAATCATCGTGAACAGATCTGTGTCCCATTTGCCCCTGGCATTGTGTAAGCTGCCATTTTTATGTTGCCGCTCCACACAGGCTGCGGTCTCTTTAAGGGCGGCAACCCAGCTATGGCCCTTCCAGCTCACCTGGTGCTGAGGCAGCTGAGTTTTAAAGCTCCTGGCTCCAGTCCCACTGGTTTTACAAACTCGTGGAATTCAGCCCCTCTGGTTTTGAAAGTCAAACGTTATGGGGACTAGTCTTCCCCATGTGAGCTCCCTGGTGCAAGGGCCCATTTCTCTGCCCTCTCTGCCTGTGCAGCTGCCTTCCTCCTGCAGGCAGCCTCCCTCCACCTTTCTGACCTTTCTAACCTTTCAGATGCAGCTTCTTCTCTATCAGTAGTCTTGGAGTTTGTTTTGCCTGTCTTCGTTCTGATCGCTCTCCTGTTTATTGACTTGGATATGGATGATATCCAGTTGGAAATGTGGGACAGGTGAGCTCAGTATCCTCTTACTCCGCTACCTCCCCAAGATCCTTCCAGGATCTATTATTAATATGTTAACATAGGGGTGCCTGGGTGGCTTAGTCGGTTAAGTGTCTGACTCTTGGTTTGGGCTCAGGTCATGATCTCACAGTTTTGTGAGTTTGAGCCCTGCATTGGGCTCTGCACTGACAGCGAGGAGCCTACTTGGGATTCTCTCTCCCTGTCTCTCTGCCCTTCCCCCGCTCTCTCTCTCTGTCAAAATAAATAAACTTTAAAAAAATACAAAAAGTAAACAACATAAGCATATTACAAATTTTGTTAAATAATTATTAAGCATGAAAGTTCAATTTTATTGACAATGCATTTCTTGATGAGGTGAATCCATAATGTTTCCTTTTACATTTAAAAAATAAAGTAGGTGACGTTAAAAGAATTTGTACATAGGATATCGTTTGCTTTTTATTAACAGGAGGTAGAAAACACTAAACATTTTATGATGAAAGAAGATGAGGATTATACTGTATTGCAATCCACATTTCAAGCAGTATTTAATAAAAATTGTTTTAACTACTTGGTTGAAGAATAAGTGCCAAGCAGAAAGATCTCGTAGAACTTTAGTATATCTTGAAAAGGTTAATAGTCTAAGAAAACATTCTAGTTACATTTGAAAATATTAGGGACACTCACCTATACTGCTCTGCTATATAAGGTCTGGAGTTTTTTCTAGCAAATAATGTGTCTAAGGGATAAATATTGAGAAGAGCTGAAAAGAGCTGCTTATATTTAAATGCATTGCAGGAGGGGGCATTTTCAATAATCAACCTTTCTTACTCAACATTAGTTAACATTATTTTTGCCTTGCTTTCATGAAACCATCCCTCACATGGATATTTGACAAATCCAGGGCACAGAAGAAGAGAATCATTAGTCCAAAATTGCCTAACTCCCATCTCTGCAATCTACCAGAAAATCCCAACGTGTGCTAAAATATTACATTTCTAGCATGACGCTTGAATAGCAATATTTATAAGTCAAGGAAATAGGAGAATCTTAGGTTCACAGTATCTATGAATTTAAGACCATCAAACCTTTGAAATACCCCTGGGGTGTAAGTTCTCCATGTTAAAGGCCACTGTTCTAAGTTAGCAAATCAGATCAACCAGAATCCTGTCTGCATCAGAACATTACACCTTCTGGGCAAAATTGAGTAGAATACCTCAGATCAGAGGGTTGGGCTCCCAGACTTCTGATCCAAGACAGAGGTTGTGCCCCGTTCCCTCTGTCTGCCTCCACCCAGGGTACAGAGTGTCAGGGAGAGGACCCTGAGAGCCAATTCATACTTCTTCTGGCCTTGGGCCCAGATCACAGCAGAGGGAAATTTCTGAGTGCAGTATGTATGGGTGCTGTCCCTGTGGTTCTCTGTGACCGTGTCCAAATGGAACTCTTTATAACACTCTTAACCAAAGGAACCCCACAACTGACCAACCCTATTCACCTTATGCAGTCTAAGGCACACTGCAATCTCCAGGAAGAAAGTTCTTTAATTTTCCAGTCCCTGGCAATAATAGAAGAAGTAGTAAAGAGGAATATGAGCCATTAAGATCAAGTTTGGGGCTTAAATTTTCTGTAAATAACATGGTTGGAATTCTGCTCCACTAATTATTTAATGTCATCAAATTCTTGGTATCTGCATGACTCATGTGGAAGTGGAGAAAGAGCTTATTTTTACCATTTGTGCCCTGGACATAGTATGCTGGTAGGGAGAGATGTCCCTGTTGGATGGAAAGAGATGTTTTTCCATGTTTTGATGTTATTATCCATGAGTCAGATATAATTATACAACCAATATCAGAGTTTGTTTTGCTTGTGTATTAAAGGCCTTAAAAATGTTTGTCAAATTGTCTGTAATTTCGTGCTTTAAATTGGGCTTGATGCATCTCAGCATATGTGTGTAGAGTCTCTATCGCTGTTCTTATTTTAGTTACAATGTCCTAAATGTTTCTAATGCTTACTTCATAGGTACATTCTTAACTCTCAATGGCCCCCAGATACCCAGAGTGTCTGCAACCATCCCCACCCCTCCAGAATTAGGACAGCTCTCGAAGGACACAGGGAAAAAGGTAGGTGTCCAACTGGGCCTGAGGGCATGTGACCTGATTGAGTGTATGATCCTGATTGTATTTCAACCACAAGAACTTTATGAGCTGTTCATTTATTTGTTGTTATTATGTATGCCTCTTCTGGCCTTTCTTACTGTAAAAGCAGCCAAATTTTTAATGAAGAAACTGTGGACTCATACATTATTAAAACTCAGTCACTACAGGTGACTTATACAAACCTCATTCCAAATGTAATGCCACGGGTTTCAGTACACAGATCTTCTCATAAAGGTTCTGCATTTTCCTGGGAACATGATCAGGATACTGTCTTAGCAGTTTTCCTAGGCCATCTTTACATTTAGTCTTAGCACTCCTGAGAAAATTTAACCTCGGATCTTCTAACTTACCTAAATGTGTGTAAAAAGGGATCTATTACACTCCCTTATCCATCTCAGGTTAAAATCAAAGTCTCACTGCAGGTCAGAGAGATTTTCTTGCATTACTTAAAAAGCATGAATAAAAAAGGCATGGACACCTTGCCTGCTGAAAGGGCCGTCTACACAAACATCAGGCTGTGCCTTCACTTTGTGTTCCATTTAAAAGCAGGGAACTAGATATCTGGTGTAAGATGGTGTGATACCTGGCCAGCAGGCATTGATGCAGTCCCTTCCAGTATCCCGTTAAAAACCGTGATGGAAAAGAAAAGCACACAGGCAACAGAATCACAAGAACCTGCCCCCCGCCCCCCACCACTGCTGGGCCACATGGGTGCCGCCCTTCAAAGCACCTGGGCCACTTTGTAGGGAACATTCTGAGATGCAAACTCCTGGGGGAAAAAAAAAGGCTAAAGAAGCAGCTTGTTTCAGTGGCGGTAGGGAGGGAGAGATGGGCAGCGGTGCGTTAGATCTCAGAAAGGGGAATTCTCTCCCGTACAGCCGTGGGTCAGCACACGGGACACTCAGCACAGGTGGAAGAGTGTGCCCTGTCAGAAGAGCGTGGTTGCCTACAGAGCAGGTAGTGGTAGCGGTAACAGCAACAGTATGGCAGGAGTAACAATGATAATGCTAGTTATATTTGTTGTTTATGATGGGCAGTCCATAGTGCCAAGAGCTTTGAAAGTATTTCATTTAATTCTCCTAAGAACTCTGTGAAGTTGGTATATTTATCAACTTCCTTTCACAGGGGAGAAAACTAAGGCACAGAGAGGTTAAGCAGCTCACCCAAAGTCACACAGCTTATAAGTGGCAAAGTCTGGATTGGCAAATAGACAATGTAAACTGGGAATTGGACTGGGGACCAAGCACATTGTCTTGACTCCATTTGTGTCTCTGAAAAGGGATGGGACCCTCACTTCAGAGCAAACTTGGGTGATGTCTCTATACTCTGTTGACATAACAGTCTAGCCTCATTTGAGGGTGAGCATTCAAGAAGCAAGAGAGAGAGAGAAGAGAGACAGAAAAAAAAAGAAAAGAGAGAAGGTACTTAGAAATTATGGGAAAAAATTATAAAACAAGGGAAAACCATATAGGAAAAAAAGAAGACAAAACAGATCTATGAAAAAGATCTATTGCAAGAATCTTATAAGGACCCTTTAGGAAGCTATTTAGCATCCTGTAGAAACAGAATATTATAGGTCTCACATTCCTTTTTTAAAATGTGTCATTGTCTATATTAGGTCTTTAGGTCCTGTGCTTTCTGATTTATTTCTAGAATATGATGTCCTAGCTATAGCCTTAAAAAAAGCAGGTCCTTCTAAATACAGACAAAGGAGAAAAAGAGTGTTAAAACTGGTACAAAAGGAGAGAGATATAACAAATTATATAGCTGTTCACAAGAAAAACTCTCCAGATAAAGTCAAAGGCCAAAATTTATAAGAATAAAAACATGTTCTAAAATTAGTAATCAGAAGAGTGCTCATAAAAATTGTCTATGAAAGTCCATTTTTGTGGCACAGGTCTTCAGAAGTTAAAGTTTCTTTTGTAGAATAAAGCCTTTTATTCTCAAAGGTCATTTATGCTCATTTTTCATTGTTAATCACAGTATGAAATTAACACCCATCATTGTAGAGTGTGTATAAACTTCCACTGTTTTGATTTGGGGCAAAGGATCTTGAGACTGTCTTTGCTCTTCTTCCTTTGATTTATTTCTATCATCTTATCATGTGCCATCCATTTCTCTCTCTTTTTTCCTTTCTTGCCATCTTCTGAATAGGTTTTCTTTTTTCTTTTCATCTTTTGCTATTACCACCCCACCCCCTACCTCTCTTTTGGAATTAATTATCTCTATATCTATTTTTAGGAGTTACCCTAGACATTTGAACACACTTACTTCATTTCTGGATGCTCTGCCCAAACAGTGCAAGAATCTTAGATTATTTGAACTATAGTTTTCCACCCCATTCCAATCTATATTATACTTTGACCAGTATTTGAATTCTATCTTGTTTGTTTAACCTCACAAATTAGACATTATGATGATGACGATGATGATGATGATGATGATGATGATGTCAGTGTTTATTTCAATATACCTAACATACTTACCACTTTCTTTGCTCACTGTTTCTTCTTGCAGACCTTCCTCCATTTGGTCTCATAATCTTTCTGCATAAAGCAGTTTTTCATTTTGGAAAATTTTATTCAATTCTTCATCAGTCTGTTTGATTGTGTTTTTAAAAAGCCATCTCCTCAGTCAGTTAAGCATCAGACTTGATTTCAGCTCAGGTCATGATCTCATGGTTCGTCAGTTTGAGCCCCAAGTCAGGCTCTGTACTGACAGCACAGAGCCCACTTAGGATTCTCTCTCACCCTCTCTCTCTGCCCCTCCCCAACTTGCGTACAGACACACACACACACACACACACACACACACACACACACACACACTCTTTGGGTGTCTCTCTCTCTCAAAATAAATGAAGTAACCTTTAAAAAAAATAAAAAGCCATCTCTTACTCCTTTCTCACAAAATATTTATTTCTTCACCATACCAAACATGGTTATTTTATATTCTGTGTCTTATCATCTTTACAGATCTGATTTTGCTGCCTGTGTCTGCTCGTTCTCATTCACGGTGCTTTATTCTCCTGCAGGGAGGAGAGAAGGCAGAGTATACCTATGTGTGGTTTTATGTGAGCTTATGTTCTTTGGAACTCTATCTATAGGAATTCTTCGAGGCCTCAGTTGAGATTGCATTCTTCCAGAAAATATTTACATTTGCTCCTCCCAGTTGATTATACAAACATTCTGAGAGTGCTTTAATTAAAATTCTCCTCTTTCAGTTTTTCAGATACAGGTGGTATAACATAAATTCATGCAAAAAGCCACGTGAGGGCCAAGCTGTGGTTCTAAATTCCCAAGTGAGATTTCCTACCACTCTCCCCTGGCATAAAAATAGAATCAGATGTGGTTTGTCCCCTTCTGTGTAGCAGTTCGTTTTTTTACTCACCCTTAATTGAAGGTAAAGCCCTTTGAGATTCCTGCTTCATGTAGGGGTCTTCTATAAGATTTCAAATGTTGTGGCAGGGGTGGTGGTGGTGAAATAGATAAAGAGGATTAAGGGCACTGAGTATGTATAGAATTGTTAAATCATATTGTAGCAAAAAAAAAAAAAAAAAAAAAAAGATTTCCAATTTTGTGTGGGCCTAACACAAAGAGAGCTGGCTTTGGTTCTCCTCTCCCAAAGTTGTTACTTTTATCTTGTTTTTGATCTCTGCTGATGCTTTACTTTTGTGCCATCTCAGTGATGTCTTTTTTTTTTTTATGTTTATTTATTTTTGAGAGAGAGAGAGAGAGAGCGAGGGAGGGACAGAGAGAGACAGGGACAGAAGATCCAACGCAGGCTCTGCACTGACAGCAGAGAGCCCCATGCAGGGCTTGAATTAACGATCCATGAGATCGTGACCTGAGTCGAAGTTGGACACTTAACCGACTAAGCCACCAAGGTGCCCCTCAGTGATCTCTTTTAAAAGTGTTTTCTTGGTTATTTTATCTGACATTTTGGTTATTTTTATTGGGTAAACCTTTTAGCATATCTAGTTCAAGCAAATCCTTCAGAGTGCAGTGTATATGCTCAATTGATGACCTATCGAAAGCACTGTGTTGGAAGCAAACAGATGTCTGGGAACCAAAGGGTGGACACAGAAGTGGCCCCACTTACCATCATTCCAGTGGCCCACTGACATAAGTTTTCCATCTCGTTTCTACAACTGTGGGCCCTGCAGAGTCAGCAGTCCCAGTCTCCAGAGGGGGTGCACTCTCACCCCAAGACACATGGAGAGTCCCACTGAATTACAAGCTACAGCTGTCACCAGGCTCTTTGGGTTCCTTTGTGCTCCCTGTACCCAGGTAGCAGGAGGTGAGAAAAGGTGTCGCCATGCTGGCAACCACAAAGACTAGCAGAGGTGATAGCAGGTGACTGGGGAAATTTGGAATGGACAGTGAAGGAGAGTGATGATGAGTACCAGTTGTGACCCTAAAACTAACTGCTGTGGCAGGGGCTTTAGTCTGTCCCACTTACTTCCCTTTTCTGAGTGTGTCCTCAGGAAGAGAAGTTCATGGGAACTGCAGTAGCCTGCTCCCAAGACAGCCCCCAACGATCCCTGCCTCTTGATATTCATACCCTTGTGTGGTCCCTCCCACACTGGATCAAGGTTGGTCTGTGCAGCCAATAGAATATGATAGAAGGGATGGTATGTAACTTCCAAAATTAGGTTATAAAAGACTACACCTTCTGTTTTAGTCTCTCTCTCACATCACTTGCCAACTTGCTACCTACAATTGGTCATGAGACACACAGGCAGCTTTCAGAGAGGCCCACGTGAAGAAGAATGGAGACCTCAGGCCAATAGCCAGCAAGAAACTGAGGCCAGCCAGCAATCACATGAGTTCAGAACCAGATTCTTTAGCCCCAGTCAAGTTTTGTGATGACTCCAGCTCTGGCCAACATCTTGACTACAACTTCATGAGAGACCTTGAACCAGAACCATGCAGCTAAGCTACTCCCAGATTCCTGGCTCTTAGAAACTGAATGAGATAATTGTGTTCTTTAAGTTGCAAAGTTTGGGGATAACTTGTTACACAGCAGTAGATAACAAATACAGGAACCCTGGCAGATCTGTGCCCCAAATGTATAAAGCAAGTAAACCCATGTGGCACAAGGAGCAAACTGTGGCAGCCACATTAGAATGTTATTCACATCTCCAATTAAGTACCTGCTCCAATGGGTAAGAGTTCACTAACAGCCTTTAGCTATTAGAGCCTTCAAGATCTGCCTTGGTTTCCAAGCTGAAGCCATATGCTTCCAGGAAGACCCTGGGCAATAACTGAGAATTGTTGTAATTTCTGGCCAGTGCAGGACTGCTCAGTGGGGACTCCCAGTTGACTGCCTGAGACTTAGTCAGCTCTGTGCCACCAAAGCTCCTTACTGCCTTCTCTTGCTCACAGATGCCTCACCTGCACTGTAGTCTGAAGGTTTTCCCTGCTCTTTCTCCCTTTTAAGGAGTTTGCCCCAATAAGCTACACATACTTCTAGTTCTGTCTTGTGTCTAGTTCCCAGGAGACCTGAGTTTTAACTTTATTATTACCTTTCTTTCTTTTATTTATTTTGTTTTTAAATTTTCTTCCCATTGCTGCTTGTGAAGGTACAAGTTTAGCGCAATTATTTTAAATATATTTTTTTTCTAATTAAGAATTCAAAGCTAGAGAATTCCTTTAGTCATCTGTTTCTGGGAGAAGCAAATTTATAGAGTGTTTAATTAAAAAAATATGTTTCTGTTTGGAAGAAACCCAGGATATATGTCTTATTTATTTTGATTCTTTGGTTAATTTTAATCCATGGTAAATTATAACAAACATTGCTATCTAAAATTAATCCTGAAGAAGAATAATGCTGATTTTTAAACAAAATGGTTGTCGGTAATTTTTAATTTTGTATCAGTGTCTGTTCATTTATTTATTCCTTGAACAAACATTTATGAAGCTCTTTGTTCCAGTCATTATGCTCAGGTAGTGAATTAAGAAACATCTTTACCAGATGGTTAATTTTCTTTTACTAAATACTGTAAAAAAAAAAAAATTTAGGGAGATAAAAACCCTGTTTTTCTACAGATCACAATTCAGTATTTGACCATAAAATGTTTCTTGGCCTGGTTTCAGATTGTTCCTAAATAATTCTCCAGTTGAATGAATCCCAGGTGCTCCATCGACCTTGTCATTAATAACCTGTCGACCTCATAATTATTTTGTAAAGAAATAGATGAAATAAGAAATTTCTTCAAGAGATGAAGAACATATTGCCTGTTCAACCAATAATTCACTAATTCATTCAGTGTTGATTCATGGCTTCAAGAAAAGGAAAGGAATATAAAAAAAATGACATTAATCAAAAAAGCCTAAGTAAACAAGACAAAAGTTTTATCCGTATCCGAGCTCTTTGCATTTTACTTACTGTCATCATTGGCCAAGGGCACATACCACACGGCCTCTGCTCTGTTTGCTTTTCC